ATCACTTGATCTTCATTTTAACACATATCCTCATCATTCTCCCACTTGTGGTACATCTTCAACACAAAGTCATTCTGCACCTATTCATGCTACTCATAATTCATCTTCAACTGGAACCATATCAATGGATACTTCTGCAAGTTCAATCCCTCCTTCAGAATCTTCAATCTTGCCAACAATTCAGACAAGTCATCCCCCATTTCTGGCAATACACATCCTATGATTACAAGATCTAAGGCTGGGATCTACAAAGCTAGGGTTTATGCGGCAACAAAACATCCACTTCCAGTTGATCTTGAATTTGTTCCAAGTACTTACAAGCATCAAAGCATGCTCACTGGATAGCTGCAATGCAAGATGAATATAATGCTTTACTGTCCACAAGAACTTGGTCTCTTGTTCCATCACATCCTTCCCAAAATGTAGTTGGATGTAAATGGGTGTTTCGATTCAAGAAAAAGCCAGATGGCACTATTAATAGGTACAAAGCCCGCCTTGTGACAAAGGGCTTTCATCAATAAGGTGTTGATTTTCAAGAAACCTTCAGTCCAGTTGCTAAACCGGTCACAATTCGGATCCTTCTTACACTTGCTATTCAATATAATTGGTTTTTAAATCAATTAAGACATCAACATTGCCTTCCTTCATGGAGATTTAAAAGAGGATGTTTACATGCAACAACCTCCAGGGTTTATTGATCCTCTTTCTCCCAATTATGTTTGCAAATTAAGGAAATCTCTGTATGGTCTCAAACAAGCTCCTCAGGCTTGGTTTGATAAACTGTTTCAAGTTCTTCAACAACTTAGGTTCAAACAATCTTCATCTGATGCTTCTTTGTTTGTTCTCAATGGTCCTCAATTGGTTATTGTTCTGGTTTATGTTGATGATATCCTTGTTACTGGCCCTAACTCTCAACTCTGTCAACAATTTATTCAACAACTTAGTGCTCGATTTCCAGTGAAAGATCTTGGTCCTTTACACTATTTCTTGGGCTTAGAAGTGCACAGATCATCCAAAAGGATTTTCCTTCATCAAACCAAGTACTTGCGTGATCTTCTCAAGAAAACCAATATGGAAGGTGCAAAACCTTGCTGCACACCTCTTGGTTCCAAGAAACTGGATCACAATGGGCCACTCTTGTCAAATCCCACTAAATATCATTCTATAGTTGGTGGATTATAATATCTTACTTGGACTCGGCCGGACCTTGCATTTGTTGTTAACCAAATATGCCAATTTATGCATGCTCCAAGGGAACAACATCTTCAGGCAACCAAACAAGTTCTCAGATTCCTAAAGGTTCTATTTCGCATGGTTTATGGTTCACAAAGGGCTATGTTCATCTCTCAGCATACTCTGATGCTGATTGGACCGGCTACACCTTTGATAGGCGTTCAACTAGTGGATACTATGTGTTCCTTGGACCTAATCTCATCAGAGAGTGCCAAGAAACAAAGCATTGTTGCACGTTCATCTACAAAAGCTGAATATCGTTCCTTAGCTCACACTGCTGCAGAAATCACTTGGGTGTGCAAAACCCTTCGTGATCTTCGTTTTCCATTGCCTACACAACCTACACGAGGGTGTGACATCTTAGCAATCTCGTTAGCATCTAATCTTATCTTTCATGCTCAAACTAAGCATGTTGAGATTGACAATCACTACATTCGAGAATTGGTCCTGGCAAATCTCATTAAAGTGCAGTTTGTTTGCAGTGAAGATCAATTGGTTGACCTTCACACCAAGTCTCTGTCTAAAAGCAAATTTGCTTACCTGTGTTCCAAGCTTCCAATTGGAATCAACTCTGATTCCCCTTTTAGACGAGGTGTATTAGGGAGAATGACAAGTCATCCATTTCAATTACTGTGAAATAGTTTGTTAAAACTAAATGTAATTAGTTTGTTAATAGTTGTGATTAGTTAAGGTAGTTAAGTGATTAGTTAAGGCAATTAAAGGGTATTAATGTAAATAGCCAAAAGGCTATATATATCCACATGTGTAATTGATTATTCAGTCAATACAAATGAAAACTTACAGAGGAAGTTTTCTATTTCTATACCTTCTCCATCACTTGTTTCTCTTTCTTGAACTTATGACATTGTTGCCTCTTAATCTGTAGGACAAGAATATGTGCACCTTTAGCTTTCTTAATATAATCCTAAATAAAATAGGACTTTAACAGAAGATGAACCAAATCCTAACACGATCTCTGTAAGAGATAGATTGCCTCCATAGTTAAGCACCCTGGCATGTACCCAAATTGGTTGTTTGAGGCCTTGCCTCAGTCTATACTCGATAACTCTCTTCCAAAGCTATATTATATGACTCATTAACTTAATACTCCTATAATTCATACAAATTTGTATGTCACCTCTATTTTTGTAGATAGGTAACAAAGTGCTTTTTTACCACTCATTTAGCATCTTCGTTTTCAAAATCTTGTTGAAAAAGTTTGTGAACCATGTTATTCCCGTTTCTCCCCAGACCTTCCACATTTTGATTAGTCGGGACCTACTGCTTTTCTATGTTTCATCTTTTTTAAAGCTACAACCACTTCCTCGTTCCTAATTCGATGACATGAGTAATTTCTACACCCTTCCGAGTAACTCAACTCACCCAAAGTACTCCTTTTGTGTCCTTCATTGAAAAGAATCTCTCCATCTGTCTTTAACCGCTCTCTTCGTAGGTAAAATATTTCCTTTTTCATCCTTGATGCACCTTAGTTCAAGTCTCTTTGTCCTCCTTTTCCTTGCCCTGGCCAATTTATAGATATTCAACTTTCTTTCATTGGTATCCAAACACTTGTCCATATTGTCAAAAGCCATTAGCTTCACTTCTCTCATGGCTTTCTTTGCCTTCTTCGCTACTATATACCTCTCATAGTTTTCATCGGTTCTATCCTTGTATAAGGTTTTACAACATTCCTTCTTAACCTTAACATTTTCATGTACCTCATCTTTCCACCACCAAGATTCCTTTTAATGTGGAGCAAAACCTTGGACTCTCCTAATACCCCAAATACAGCTGGCCATGGAATCCCACATTGGCTAGCGTTCCCCTCGGTATCCTAAACGCCTTCGGCAAGTACCTTTTCTTTGAAAGTGACTTGTTTTTCTCCTTTTAGATTCCACCATCTAGTTCTTGGACACTTCAAGCCCTTATTCTTTCTTCTATCTCACAATCCCCCTTCCTCATTAAAAAGAAATCTATTTGTGTTTTTGATGACCCATTCTTATAGGCGATCACACGCTCCTCTTTTTTTAAAGAAGTATTGGCTAGAAAGAGATCGTATGCCATTGCAAAAAATGACATCCCCTCCTTGTTACTCTCCCCAAAACTATGGCCACCATGGAAACCATTGTAGTTGATTGTCTCCTTGTCCACATGTCCATTTAAATCTCCTCCTATGAGTACCTTCTCTGTCTGGGAGATTCCTTAGACCAATTTTCCAAGATCTTCCCAAAATTTCTTCTTCGTACTCCTATCCAACCCAACTTGAGGTGCATGTGTTGTGTATATCGCATTTAAAATGCAAAAAACAGAACAAACTCAGAAGTTGAAAATAAAATAACCAAGATAAATAACGCCAAGAATTAACATGGTTCGACTGTATGTGCCTACGTCCATGGGGCAGCAACATAACAATATTTCAATATATCAATGAGTAAGACGAATAATCTTGTCAAGCCTCTAGGATAAAAACTTAACAAAAAAACAGAAAGAACAAGAACTAGAAATACACTTTTTATCTCTTTTCTTTTCTCTTGCACACTTTTTCCTTACAATATTCTCTAACTCTTAAGTCATTGAGTGGTGTACAATTTATTGTTTTGCTCCAATTCAAAACTAGTGCAATAGACATAATAAATGTCTTCTTCAATAAGGATTACTAATCATAATTGGAATTTAGTTATGAATCATTCTCCAATTGAGAAACCAACTCCAAATGGGAAAAAAAATTCAATTGGGTAAACAATTTAAATTGGATTAACAACTTCAATCGGGAAAACAGCTTCAATTCGATAAACAATTTAATCTTCTACAACTATAATTCCTAATAGACTCGGGACAACTCATCATGGGTTGGAAAAATAAAATAGCATACGCACTAATCACATTGATGAGTTCTTGATTGCTATAATTCTACCCCAGACCCTCTTAACATCTACAACATCTCTTGTTCGAGTCTTATACCGTTTCTGGATTTGTTTGTGCCCAAATACCGAAACTTAAAACTTCAATCTTTGAGTTCTTTTGCCTTAGGACCAAACCACTTAGTTTCCTGGAGGCAGATAATACTATCTTTCTCCTCACCACAACTTCCACTATTTCAATAGATTTTCTCATTAAGGTTCCTATATTCCACGTTCCTAAACGCATTTTACTCTCTTGCACCCTACCCTAATGTCCTAGATTCTTTGACCTCACTCGTCCAGTAAGGTCAAAATACTTCTTTTACCTGTCTGGGGCAAAATTGATGTCATCAGATGTTTCCAAACAACTTTGAGTCGAATTGTTCAAAAATAAAGTTTCTATAACATTCTTATTCATTTGACACTATATTCGGGCACCGATAGAGATACTGCGACCTTTGCTCACTCATCATTATACCAGGGCCACACAACTCGTCACGTCCGAGTGACGACCTAACTTCAACAATTTCATTTAGGATCCGTTCTCATTGGGATTCGACATGAAAACGGAGTACTGACCATCGACTACTTAACACCTTGCCCCTCCTCATTTATCCGAGATTGAGACCGGCAGCGTAAGGTAAACAAAAACATCAGAGAATAAAAAAGGAAATGCAGAGTTTGAAGTGATGCTGTCTCAGAAATGTAGAAACACAAGTTCCTTGAAAATTGAAACCAAATCACATCCCACAGTTTATAAACCTCCCCTAGTTTAAGATGTTAATAGTAGCTATTGTAATTTAGTCGGCCGATTACTATTCAACAACCTAAGGTTTACAGCCTGCTAATGTGAAGCCGCAGCATTACCTGTTCTATAGCAAGACGCATAAATTTAAGGGTGTCGTCAGGGTACTCTTCTTCAAGAAATGCCATCTGTTGAAAGCAATTAAAAGATTACAGAAATACTGTAATTACAAAAATCGAACACAAAAATGTAAAGTCTGTCGATTTTTTTCCCCCATAACGAGGTTGGGTGCATGCTCAAACACGCCAACACCCAGAAAAATCCCCAATTACGCTAGCCCTAATTTCAACAAACAAACAAAAATTGAATCCCAAATTATGGCAATCGCAATTTCAACAAAATCTGCAACAATCAATCACAAATTCAAGGGGAAATCGTAAGAAATTAAATAAAAAATAAAATAAAATTGCGAGAGCAATTTAGGAAAGAAGAGTACCAGGTGGGATATGGAGGACTGGAGTGCGAGTGTGTTGCTTGCTGTTGATGTGGAAAAACTAATAACAGACGGAAATATTGGCTTAATTACATTCCCGCGGTATCGCGCCAAATAATTTGAGGGCGTTTCCTTCTTTCCTATTAAAACGGATCTGTCTCTCCGGATCCGTCCGGATCATTTAATCTAGGACGTTCCCTCAGATCATGCGGTCACAAAATTGATTTTTAATTTTATTTTTTACTTGTTTTACGGGGGACGACGTCGTAATGGGACAGATCTTTCCATGGTGATTTAGTCCATTAAAAATCAGCGTGGTGGAATTTTCAATTGAAATGTCGACGAGATTGAAATTAGGAGAGAGCAAAAAATTTTAAAAATTGAAAAATCCGTTCATGTTTGAGATTTTTCTCTTTTTCTTTTAAGTGAAAGGAGAAAAAAGTGACCTTAGGGATTGGAATTGGAGAGAATTTTTGTCAAAACAACAGGGAACATATGATTTTATCATAAATCAAACAACGATGTTCTAGACTAAATTTCGTTTAAACTCGGCTCTTGATCGCTTTTGGTAAATAAACAGGATTCAAACTTAAAATTGTTTTCAACATTAAAAGAGAGATATAAGACTAAGATAACTCCAGTATTCGAGAAGTGTGTACAAATAGTTAGAATGCCAATATTCAAGATCCAATTTTCCAAAACAAAGATTATAAGCATATGAAAACCAAACCCACAATATAGAGGAGAACCACGCAAGTAAATTTCAACGAAAATAGCTCCATTATGTGCTACTTGTCCCAAATCCAATACCATCAAAAACTCAACCAAACTTACATAATTAAACAAACAAGTAGTTGTTATATTTGACACAAATTAAGTCACTCACTCCAAACAATCGAAAAGGTTAAGCCAATATTTGTGCTCTTGTTGCGATTTCTCGATCAAAAGGGTGGGCAATATCTGGATTCTCACCACAACACCAACAAGACTATTTCAGCGTAACTGCTAACATTTGCGTCCCCTTGGCAACTTATATCAGTAGTCATTCTTCTGACAAAATAAATAGCAGTTTAGTTTTCTGGTTTTATTTGCAATTGAACGCGTAGCAACTACAAATATACACACACACACACACACACAAATTAAATATATATACACACATATATATACACACAAATACGATGAAGAAGTGACCTACATCGTGCAAAACTGCTTTGCGCGACGTATAGCCTACGTCGCGCAAAACCACTTTGCACGACGTAGGTCACTTCTTCGTCTCGCAAACCCTTTTTTTTTTTTTTTTGCAACAAATTTTTTAATTTAATTTTTAATAAATATTGTAATTAAATTCTAAACAATAATTAATAAACCAAGAAAAAGTATTTAATTATAAAATATATGAAAATGTATATACAATATGTCCAAATAAAAAAGAAAAAACTACAAGTCTTCTAAGTTTAATACATCATGCTATTGGGTATCGGCTGGGCAAAGTGGCTGGGAAGTCGAAGGTGGAGTAAGATCAGGTGCTGGCATCGGGATTTGGAGGGCGAAAATCTTTAAGACCCGTACAATCATACCCATCTTCTCATTTTGGGCCCTTATCTGCTTATCCTAGGCCCTCATCTGCTCACCCTGGGCCCTCATCTGCTTGCCCTGGGCTACAAGCTGACCTTTTAGGGTTGTCACTTCCTCCTTCAAGGCATTGACCTCTCCTATGGATGATCTAGAAGATGAGGCACCCGTCTCACGAACCCCGCCTTCCCCATACATCGAACAACATTGTCATGACGACAATCAAACTTCTAATCCAAGACCTCAATCACGATCTGAAGACCTGCATCCTCGAATGCAGTGACGTCCTTAATCGGGGTCTCAGGGGGAAGCTGCAATGTTGCTTCTTGGAGAACAACAGTGCGCTTTTTCACCATAGAACAAAGAAAAAGCAATGGCTGAATACATCGCAAAGGTGAAGCAACTGCAACAACAAGAAGTAGCCTCCACATAGATCATACAACATTAATGGAGTTCTATATCTATATCTTAAACATTTCCCAAGTGTTTCAAACTTTCAAGAAGAAAACACATACTAGAATGTAATAAACCAATAATTTTCAATTTCCACAGCTTCTGCTTTATAATTAAGTCATGATTTAAAGGTGTCACACTTCAAATGCTTGTGTAGTCATCTTCACAAGATTAAGGAATGGAATGCATAGGTATAAAAGTATTAAGCGAGAAAGTATATAACCTAACTAAATCAGGGCGGCTATGGAATTGTCTCGAAAATTACAGCCCGGTATCAAAGTGAAAACAAACATCTAGTTTATTTTCAGTACCAATGAACACACCATGTTTAATCAAGTGAAATGTTCATCTGATTGTAAATGTGGACAAGGAGAGAGACGAGCAAAATCCTTAATTTCACAATTTCATAATTTGTAATTAGACTTACTTTCAAGGAGAGAGACGAGCATGACAAAGGGGTGGTGGCTGAGAAAAAAATGGTGCAAACAAAAGCATTTTAGGAGTAGTGTGATGAGAAAAAAAAAATGGTGCAAACAAAAACATCCAATGACATACCCCGACTGAGATCAGGGCGTGCTGGCCGTCACGCGGAGGTGACGTAACCATGTGCACAGTGCAGAAGGTAATAAAACAATAATGGAAATAGTAATACGAATAAATAAAAACTGGTTTACATGAAATGATAATAGGTGCAAACGTAAGTGTGACACAAGTTCAGAGCATAACGCCTAAAGCAGTTCAAACCAAAATGACGCAACCACAGTACACCTGAAGGTGGCCCTACGCTGGTGATCGTCTGTCAGAAATGCCGGGAAAGCCCTCTGGGAAACCACCAAACCTGCTAGACAACTAGAACCTGGAGGGGCGCAAAACAAAAGCGTGGGTGGGCAAAAACAAAGCTTTTCGAAAACCATTTAACAAATAAGTTCTAACCCCTTGCCGTAAAACCTGTATACTTCCCAGTAAATAAACATATGTACATATATATATATATATATATATACACCAATCATGCTCCAAGATATGCCATGCCAAACCTCACAATGAAATGCAAGTGCTCAGGTGAAAATCATATCAATATCATATAGTCTGGCAGCCGGAGTCACCTAACGTGACCTGTACGGCTGAATCTAGAGCTCAAATCTCAATCTCAATAACTAAACCTGCCCACGAGTCGGAACCACCTAAAGTGGTCTGTACGACAGGCCTGGGTGTAATACATATAAACGCTCTAGTGCTACGATCACGTGAAGGCTGGGCGAGTAATCGCGGGTCACCTACGAGTCGGAACCACCTAGAGTGGTCTGTACGACAGGACTGTGCACCTAACTTGGATCCAAGCTGAGCGTGTGGTGCGGGAGGTGAACATCACGTGAAGGACTGTGCCCTACTCTGGGCGGGAGCACTAACACCGGGGGTGCAGGTTATGAGCTCTTTAAGCATCTCAAATCGCCATTGAATGTAAACATGAATAACCCTTACCTGGCACTTACCTGTGCGTCCGCAGCACCCAATATGCATATGTATATATATACCACTAATAATGCAACTAATGATGCGCAAATAACGATAATATAATGCATGGCATATGGCAAATGACAATTCAAATCAATTTCTGGGAAAATATAGGTATATAGGTATATACGAAAAATCAAAAGCCCACTCACTGGTATGTGGAAGGGTCGTAGCCCCCTGCCTCGAGTGACCACGCTCGTCCTCGGGATAGGTATCACCTATATGCGAAACAATTACAAAAACGTTAATTTTAAAGCACATAACCAACCTTTTGAAATAACTTCTCATACAATGCTCAAATGGGGTGTATGAATACACCAACGTGATCTACTCAACCTCAGGAACATCCCCATATTTTAAAATAATTTTTCACCGCCGCACGCGCCGGCCAAGGCACGGCCACACGTGCCTGGCACGCTGACGGCGTCAACTGACGCCGTAGGGAATATTCCGTCAGATTTAACAGATTCTATCAACGACGTCAGGAATATTCTGTCAGAATTGACGGAATATTCCGTCGTCTTCTCCGGCGAGCCTCCGGCGCCGGAAAATCGGGAAAATTTCAAACTTCGATATCTTCTTCGTTTTTCACCCAAATTTCATAAAATTGGTACCAAAATGAAGCTTAGAACTAGAGGAACACAATCATACCACTTTCAAGGGCTAAAATTCACGAAATCTCACCTGTAAAATCAACCCAACTCCGACCAACTTCGAAACTCGTGATCCCGACGTCCAAAACCTTCAAACGAACCACCCCGAGCCTCCTAGGGACCTCACCAAGCTACCTACAAGCTTGAAATTTCCTAAAACATGAGAAATCACGTGTGCATGAACAGTACCCGAAATCGGACATCGTGGATTCGACGTGAAAACGAAGGTGTTCTTACCTGAAAAAGGTATGGTTGGACTCCTACAAGCCTCACGAGCTCGAATATGTGCTTGGATTCCACGATCTGTGAAGGTTTGATGGGTGTGTGGGTGTGTCCGTACGTTTCAAAGGTAATGGGAAGGGAATGGGGACTCGGGACAGTGTGCAGGAAACAGGAGGAAAGGTTGTGGTGTGTGGGAAAATGTGTGTGGCCTACAACATGCCAACCAAACTAAAAAACAACCAATAAACGTAAAGAAATCGAACTAGGGGCAATTTTGCCTTTTCACACGTACATTGTAATATCTCTGGGACGAGCTGTCACAACCTACCTACCTTAATAGAATTTCGCCCCGAAATTCAAAACAACCAAACAACAACCCCTAGTGATCAAAGAATAACCGAGGATACAAATCCCCCGTCCAATCTTCTGTTTCCCACGTAGCTTCCTCGACTGAATGATTCCTCCACAAAACTTTCACTAAGTTCACTGTCTTGTTCCTCAGAACTTTTTCCTTCCAATCTATGATCGTCACCGGTTCCTCGTCATAAGTCAAATCTGGATTAATTTCCAAGGGTTGAGGAGGTATCACGTGAGACGGATCAGCAACATAATGTCGAAGCATAGACATGTGAAAAACGTTATGTACTCTAGCCAACTCCGGAGGCAACTCCAACCTGTAAGCTA